GTTATAAGACTTAGTTTTCCAAACACACTGCAAAAACGATCTAGAAATAAGTAAAATTTTTCTTAAATTAAGTGTATTTACCCTTAATTTGAGTAGGTAAATAAGATGTTTTGCCAATGAATGGGATTTTTTAATCTTAAGATAATTCGATAATGTGCACTTAAAATACACTGCAAAAACGATCCAAAAATGTGTAAAAATGTCTTAAATTAAGCGTATTTACCCTTAATGTGAGTATGTTAGTAAGATGATTTGCCAATGGAGTGAGTATTTCTACTCTTAAAATAAGATAATTAGAAAATATGCACTTGAAATAAGACAATGTAATTGTTTTTTCTTATTTTAAATGTAAATTGTCTTGTCGCATTGGCAAAGTGTCTCACTTACATCCTTAATTCAAGAAAAAATGCACTTATTTTAAGAAAAAAAAGACTTATTGAGATAAAAAAATTTTGCAGTGTAAGACATTGCAATTGTTTTTTTGTATTTTAAATTTAACTTGTCTTGTTCCATTGGCAAAGTCTCTCACTTAAAAAAAAATCACAAATTTTAAGAGAAAATTACTTATTTAGATCTACATTTTTTGCAGTGCAGGGTCGGGTTAGGTTTATCCATGGGGTAATTTAGTCTGATTCCATTAGTGCCATAGGAAAAAAAACAGCAAATCTGAATGAGACAAAGTCTTTTTTTACTGTTCATGTTGTTTCATGGAAGTCGACATAAAGGGAAACTATTTAAATAGATGTTCAAGTGTTTTATGAAAACCAGCAGTGAGGAATTCTGCTTAACTGAACAGAATAATCACCAGAAGAAATGTTTTTGATTCAGAGAAAAATGAGAAACCAAGGCCTTAATTATTTGTTCCAAGATCATTTCCACTCACAGCGTCACAGCAGAAGTCAATGAAACGGTCGAATCCCTTTATAGCCTTGAAGAAAACTACTTATCTAAGTACCTCATGACAAAGCGCCCCCCCTCCCCCCCAGAACAATGGAAACAGGTCATGTGGCGCGATGAGTGCAGATCCATCCTGCACCGGAGCGACGGGAGCATCAGGGGGAAGCAGGGCGGCAGAAGAAGCGATGCCCCCGTCATGCCAAGAGCCTCCTCTCTAAGCCTGTGGGGGGGGGGGGTTTGATGAACTGCTGCTGAGGAATCAGAGCGGGGGCAACAACGGGAGGCTGAAAAGGCAGCAGGAGACGTGACAGTAGACTCTTAATACCCGCTAATAAACAGCCAACCATCTGATTAATAGGAGTTTCTATGCAGAGGAGAGACTTCTCTGGTGTTTAAGCCTGAAAAAAGGCTGGATTTGCTTTAATAACTGAACTATAGAACTGCTGGATATTTAAAGGAAGGCGGAACCATTTTCCTCCCACAGTCACTCCTTAAACGAATAGATTATTATCTTCTATTTCCGGGTGGATCGTCTAAATAAGTGGTCCTCAATGGAAAAAATCTAAATCTAGATAACTCATTTTTTCCTAAAAAAAAAGCAATTTTTTCTTGAATTGAGAAGTTAAAGGAGATAAATTGCCAATGGAACAAGACAATTTACATATAAAATAAGGAAACACAATTGCATTGTCTTATTTCAAGTGCATTTTATCTAAATACCTTATTTTTAAGAGTAAAAATTCAATTGGCAAATCATCTTACTTATTTCTAGATTGTTTTCCCAGTGTAATTGTAAATCATTCTGGTGACATGTTTACGTATAATATAAGGTCGTCCTATGTTCTCGTACCGTTAGCCATCTTTTTCTGCGCATGCAGGCGACTAATCACTGAGATGGCGCAGACACCGCGCCGTGGAGGCGGCGT